CTATCCTGCAATTGGTTCTTACAGCCCTATGATTATCTCAAATTTGAAATTTATAAAATCGATAGATGACTATGTGGAATATTGCAGAGTAAAGTAATAAGACGCATTACTCAAGCATTCGCGAGAAAATCGAATTTGAAAATTTCGAGGTACAGAGTGCATCATATCGTTCCGCTCCAGGGGAAGTATTTCTCGGAAATTTCTCTTCCGGCTGTCCCTACTATCGCGTGTCGTTTTTCTTCAATCTCGGGCCGCTGGCGGAGATCGAAAGAGTACGGCGCGCGGTAGTAGAAGCAGCCAGAAGAGAAATTTCAGAGGAAAACTTCTCTTGGAGCGGAACGATATAGTGCACCCCTCTGTATTTCATAAGGATATTAAATAGATCGTTTAATCGAAGAGCGTAGCGTGGCGGTAGCGTACTAGGTTAATAGTGTCGACGCTGCTGGTTCTAATCTCGATATACTTTTTTTTTCAAAATTCTAATATAATCTAAATATAAGTAATTTGTTTATTCTAAATGTAAGTAACGTTTTTTTTTATTTATTGCATGTTATAAAAGTGCATTTTTTACATAAAAACTGTGATTCAAAAAATACGGTTTTAAAAATAAATAGATTAATACTAATTACTAATTGTGTTCATAAAAAGCGGATAAATAAGTGTACGCAATATGTAAAAATATATGCAACATGTTAAAGCATATTTTTGTTTACAAGAAGCGACAAGAGTGTTCGGTCCAAAAGTACAAGCTATCGATAAATTTTCTANTATATATACAAATGTTGTGGTAACATCCTCGAAGCCCAAAAAACTCACAACAAATCTGTATACACAATATTTAAAAGAAATATTATCATCATATGTCAACAAAGAAAAATTTCTTTTAATAATAGATTCGTGGTCCGGTCAAACTAATCCTGCATTGTATGACGAAATTTTTCTTGATGATGACAATGCAAGAACATGTACATACTATTAAAGTTGTTCCTCCAAAGTGCACACCTTTATGTCAACCGTGTGACGTTTATTTTTATAGGCAAGCAAAAAATTTTATAAAGCGTTTGCAGAATTGTTCAACTTTAATAGAACAAAACCACGAAATAACATCTTGTGAAGATCGCATAAAAATTCATTCAATCATACATCATCAATTGTTTGCCCCGAGTTCTTGAAATATGGTACAATATGCATGGTATGCTTCTAAATTAACAAAGGAGAGAGAGATATTTATGAATGTCCACGAAGTATGTTTTTCAATAGATATTTTAAAGAAACCATGTGAATGTAAAACTGCAGTGTTCATACGATGTGAAAATTATTGTTTCACTTGTTTTTATGATAAATATCATCCTGCATTATGTATTGTCCCATCTAGTTCCGATAAATAAAACATGTTGCGTATATTTTTACATGTTGCGTACAATTATTTATCCGCTTTTTAAAAACACAATTAGTAATTAGTAATAATCTATTTATTTTTACCGTATGTTTTAAATCACGAATTTTTTATGCAAAACAATGCACTTTTATAACATGCAATAAATAAATAAAAAACGTATTACTTACATTTAGATTATACTGTAGAATTTTGAAAAAAAAAAGTATATCGAGACTCGAACCAGCAGCGTCGACACTACTATCCTAGTACGCTACTGCCACGCTACGCGCTCTTCGACTAAACGATCTATTTAATATCCTTATAAAGTAACTCGAAATTTTCAAATTCGATTTCCTCGCGAATGGTTGAGTAGTGCGTCTTATTACGTTACCTTGCAATATTCCACTTAGTCATCTATCAATCCTATAAATTTTGTCCAAATCGATTGGTACAACATCGCGACCTCTCCTTGTTAGATTTAAGCAGATCTGAGGTGATCTAATATAATAGATCTGAGTAGATCAAAAATAGATCAATATATCAATAATAAATAAAAATATAAATAAATTTACATCGATTTACCTATATCTATTTAGATTTACTTTATATTTATTTAGATTAAAACTTTATATCTATTTAGATTTAATTTAAATCTAATTAGATCTATTTTTCTATTTTTTTTTTTTATCTCGTTAGATTTAACTTAAATCTAATCCATTTTTTCTCGGGGTTTGTTACTTACTGGCAATAACAAGATAACAATAACGTATATGTAATGTAACATGTTATATGACAAATTTTATGTCTGCGTTACTGTANTGTGACAATTTATATAGATATGATCGAGTGATTTATTAGTGAATAGAATTTGAAGATTTTATATTAAAAAAAAATATATGTATGGTTGTGGAAATATATATTGATAAAAAAAAGATGTGATACCTTTAGTACAACCTAAAATAGAAAGTGAAGTAAAAAAGAACAGTTTTGTGATGTATATTTTATGAACATGTTATCGTCAAAGCACGGGCGTTCCTAGAATTGACTGGTCAATGTGGAACCAAGCGTCTTGGTCAAAGCCCAAATGGACATTTGAGACTGTTGGGATTATGGGTAAAAAGGACATATAAATTATCAATTCTTTGTTCTACTCAATGTACTCTTTAATGAAGTATACGCGTACGGAAGGTATATCTTTACTTTTTAAACTCTCCTGTCTAACTGATTAATATAGCTGCCGCTGTGCGTCACAAGTCCTATGTGACTTATTTTTTTCTCCTCTCTATCGTACCCCTGTTTATGTAAACATAAACCTTGATTAAACTAAATAATAAACTGTACATAAGACGGAGATTAATTTTTGATTTTATTGCCTCTCTTAGTCACAGCAATTCCAACAGAGACGTATAAAATATTTTGTTTGTATCATATTATAGTACACGTGTGGGCGAGCACTTCCTCCCCGTGAAAATCTAACCTAACCTAACCTAATTAAACTAATCTATTCTATATAATGTCACTGCGATAGTAAAAAGTACAGTAAAAAGTACGGTAGAAAAAATTATTTTGGGCTTTGACCAAGGCGCTTGGTTGTTTCGTGCATTGACCAGTCAATCCTAGGAACACGTGCTTCGAGCTTTGACCATTTTTTTAATAATTATATTACTATTTTATAACAAATAAAAGAATAATTATATAACCATTTCATTAACACTTAATTAATTTATATCGCAGTTATACCAGTTTAGTAATCTATATATAATTGTTATATAACCTCTCAGTTACTACTGCAAAAACTGTAATATAACATTTTAGTAACATGTTATAGTCAGATTGTATAACTGCAAGGTGATATGAGTGGAAAATTACAACTAACTTGAATGTTACATATAACAAACACGTTGAATTACTTGTTACTTTCCGTTTCATTACAGCAATGTTACGTTTATGTATCTGTGTTTGCTGGGAATATTGCAATATGTTTGCAATTTTTCTGTGCTGTATGGGATATTTTACGTGTCATATGTACTAGATTTAGATTTTCTAAAATCTATCTATAGATTTTCAGTACTGGCAGTGAATATCGAATATACGCTTTGGCGCTATTTCTTGGTGGTAAGATGGTCGAATCCGGAAATTTTGCCAAACACAGCTATTCAACCAAAGTTAGCGATTTAGATTTACTAGAGCCATTTGTCCTTGAAGATGAAAATCGACACTTTCTTAACATCCGGTTTTAAAAATAAAATTTCTTAAAAACTATATCTCATGCAAAAAAATGTTATTCTACAATCGTTATTTTACAAAAAAGTATTATTTTTCATTGATGATTTATTTTTTTTCAAAAGAAATTAGTTCTTTTTGTGTTTATTACGATTACTAGGAGGAAGAGAAGTCACTATACATACAAGAATATATTGTTTATGTGTTAAGAGAATGCTGAACCGCTGACAAAAGTTCGCTCAGCTGCTATTCAGTCGCTACGCTATCGGGTAAGTGGCTCCATCTCTCGAGACCGAGTCGAATCAAAACAAGAATAGATGACATAAGAGAGACAAAGATAGACATGTATGTCTCTTCGGCGTTTATTTAAAATCGTACTAATCTTAGTTCAAATTTTTCTTGTCTCACAGGACTTCAAAATTCTTTTTGAAACACCCAAAATATTCGTCTATGTTTCTAGTTTTGGAGTAAGATAGTTTTGTTTGAATTCGTACGGCCAATTTTGCATATAAAGCAAAAATGTAGTTTATGTAATAACAATCTATAAACTTTTTTTTGTTTTTCTTAAATTCTTATATCTTATCCAAGTTTTTACTATATTTTCTTTTTTTCTGGAAAAGCATTTTTCTAATTCATAGTTTTTACAAAAATTTGAAAATACGACATGAGGGTAAAACAGTACGGTTCAGTATCCTCTTAAGAGAATGCTGAATCAACGAATGACCTTTGAATCGACTGCTTCAGCCGCTACACTGTCCAGAAAATAGCATCCTCTGTCGAACCAAGACAAGAATAGATGTATGTATATCTCTTTCCTTGTCTCTCAATTCGCCCGTCTTTCTTTTAGACTTGTTGGATCTAAAAGTAAGAGCCACTCACGTTTGAAGCAGTTGTTCTGCTGAACGCAGCAACGCCTCTGATGAAAAGTTTGGTAACTACGTAGTGTTGTTGTAATAAAAAAGCTAACCCTTATGTTTTTAAATTACAGTTTGAATATATTCTCTTACTGCAGGCTTTGAAATTATTTTTTTATAATCTTGTAATATTCTTACAGGTTATATCTATCACTGCATGGTGTGTATTGTGATAAACTTTTAAATCTGTAGAAATACAGCATGATATAAGGTAGTCAATTTTGTTGATAAACTTTTTTTGTTTCAGAAACATTTACTACGCGTGGTGAGTTTTTAGACTGTTTTTTTTTTTTTAATTTGGAGGACCGGTTTCTAATTTGTGCAGTAAGTTTGACAAAAACTAGAAAAATATAATTATATCATTAGGTTGATAAAACAGGACAGTTCAGCATTCTCTTATCTTGAAATTTTAAAGATATAAAAGCAGATTGCTCATTTTGTTATTGTTATAAAAATAATTTTGACAAAATTGTTAAAACACTTACCTATTAATGGTAATTGCTACCATGCTAAGTAAAGATACAGCGACGTTTCCATAGAAAAATAAAGGAAATATTGTGCATGAAGTTTCTCCTAGAACCCATTCTTCTTTCAGATATCTGCTTGCAGTTAAAGGCAAGTTAACTGTTGAAAAGATCAAGTCAGAGATACTAAGGCTTATAACAAATGCTGTAGTGGCTTGTCGTCTCAGTTTGGTATATTTTAATAACGCTATTACTGTTACTAAATTACCTAGAATTCAGATGTGATTTTCAGTTTAATGTTGGAAAACTTAAAGCAAAATATGTATACCAATAAAAATATAAAAACTATTACCAAACACTCCAATAATGCTGAATATTATAGCACAAGCAGCAGCAGTGATAGTCACAAATCGCGGATATGGTTTGAAATCTGTATCTTCTGATGCAAGCTTTAAAGTTGTATCGTTCACTGTAAAGTGCTCCATTTTTCCATAAATATATAGAAAAGTTTTCCTCTTATTTTACATTCTTTAGAATATTAATATGACATATGCACTACAACAAAATAATACAATTAAGTAAAAAAATAATAGCACATTAAAAAACATGCGCACGCGCGCGCGTGTGTGTGTGTGTGTGTAACTATACAAGTCACAGAAAATTATCTCCGATGTAAGCATAAAATAAAATATCAAAACATATAGCAATAAAATATATAGATTTTCAGATTTTTATTAAAATTATTACAGAAATAAATGTGCGCAATTTTAAAAATAACTTTATTTATCAATTTTTTATTTGATTTATTTTTTAAAGAAACGTTCGAAGACTGATTTATTATTTCTTATAATGTATATATATATATATTAATATATTATAT